GTGCTAATTAGCGGTGGTGTCCTGCGTCCTGCGTCCTTCTTCATCCTTCGTCCCCTCCCCTTGTGTCCTGCCAACGTTTTGCTTGCTCCGGTGTTCCGATTCGCGTATATTTTTTAATTGGCCGCTTTCGGCATTTCCATTGTTGTTGGTTTTTACTGTGGCTTCCGTTGTTATCTCCAAATTGATTGATTGTTGCTATTGTTGTTGTGTCAGATTTGATTGGATTTGCGTTTTTGATATTTTGCAAAAGGGATGTGTGTTTAAATAAATCATATATAGTCATACATTTTGATATGAAATACGTTTTTTATAAATAATTAAAATGATGTATTACAAAATTATATTATAATTTTTATAATATTATAAAATTTTTTTATTAGAAATATGAAGGTAATTCTCAAATCGAAAAACCCTATATACTAATTAATCCACCTTGAATTTGCCTGCCATCCCTTCTTCATTTTCATTTTCATCAATTGTTGTTTTCAATTGTCTAATTGAAAGTTAAATAAATTTTTGGTAACTTGTGCAGAAATTTTGTGCTGCTGCAGCAGAGTCCACAATCCAGTGGGAATTACAACGAGTGCAAAAGGGACAGGATGTTTGGGGTAGAAAAGAAAGGGAGATGGGGGCTAAAGGAGGAAGTTCGGGTTAATTTCTGTTTGCTTATATTTGTTGATTTGCCAAAACTATTTGCCAAAATGGTCAAAATTTAATTGCACAATTAATGCGGTGGATAAATGCAAGTATAGTGGTGGAAAAGATAAGGAAACGAGAAGGTAATGGGTTCGGTAATGTGTCAAATTCCTTTAGTAGGATGTAACTATAAATATGTTAGTTAATAAAGTGGTAAATAATGAGTGTAGTTGGTAATAAGAGGTAGGTAGTTTTTTAATGGGTATCTTTTATTCTTCTATGGGAAAGACCTATTCCGTGGTAATCAGTGAGGTAATGCTTCGGGTAATCTGTGTGTAATTCATGAAAGAATAGAGAATGCTAATTGGGGAGTTACTTACTGGGTCAGCAGCATCACTCACACAATCTCAAACGCAAATAGAGACATTAGGCCTACACACACGCACACAACTCCCCTTTCCAACCACCCCATCGTCCACCCCCTCCCCCTTTTTCATAGACCTCCTCAATATTTACTCTTTGTACTTGCAAAAGAAATTGTACTAATGGAATTATTTCATTTTGGAGAGCAGAGCGAAAGAGACGGAGTGAGGAAAAATATAGAAAGAGAGAGCGATAGTGAGGGGGTGTGCGTTGCGTCTCGTTTTGTTTTGTTTGTCGTTTTGATTTACTTTTGGTTTTCGCTTTTTCCCTGGCTCTGATATTTTTTATATATCTTCACTGTGCAAATAACTCGCAATGTTCCACGTTTCATCTGCTTCCCTCTCTTTCTTCTTTCTCTGTCTCCAAAGTCGCGACTGCACAAATCAAAGTAGAAAAGTCACTGGGAAATGAGAAAGAAGATGGATACACGCAGAAAAAAATGTGTATTCTGAAATTATAATTGTATTATCTAGATCCTAAAATATATCAAACTTTTATTTAAAAAGTCTAGAAAGTTTATAAAATTGGTTTTGAAAAATACCGAAAAGCTGGTATATTTTATGTTACTATTTTGATATTATAATATCAAGGAAAATATTTTCCCGGTGCTTTAAGAAACCAGCGAAAGCCCAAACCTCAAGCCCAATGCCAACTTCCTCTTTCCTCCTTTCTCCGTACTTTCACCGCCTCTCCCGTCTCCTCCCTTTCCCATTTCCTCTGCTGCGGCGTCGAAACTTTTTTGTTTTCCTTTGGGGCGGTTCAAATAATTTTTTGACTGATTGAATTATTAATAAAATTGATCGAAATGCAAAGAGAGCCGCGCTGACGACAACGAACGATGCTGGTCAGCAAACAAAAAAAAATAAATAAAATAAAAAATAAAATAGCTGAACGGAAATTCATATCACAGTTTTCGATTTTTCATCTTTGCTTTACTTATTTGTTGTTATTATTTGATTGAATTACTTTAAAGCGAGTGCAGCTGGGGAAATTCATCTTGTCGCCCATATAAGTATGCTTTGCAAGCATGCTTCGATTCGATTTCGTGTTGTAGGTCACATTTAATTAACACAAATTTCCATTAATATGCATTAATTACACCTGACTTCATTTTGTCGAACTGGCACGTCCTTATTATCTATGTGCTATATTGCCAACAACACAGGACATCAATTGTGCCTGACATTTGATCGGTCGACATGAGTTTCCATCAACAAACTCTGATGGCCAGTTAATTATTCCATTATTTGTGGTTGGCTTTTGATTAAATAACTGATGGCATAAAACACCATTTAATAACTTATTATCATGTTATATTTGTAGCATTAAAATTGAAAAGGGAAATCGTCTTTGCATAAGTACGGCTTAAAAACCTATTAAACTGAATTATCCTTAAATCGTGATAAATATGAATTCGTTTTCGTTTTTTCTTGTCTTTTATTTCATTTTATTTATTCTTCTTTTTTTTTGCCATCGCCGAAGTGTATTAAATATTTACAGAATATTTTAAAATCAAAATTAAATAATAAAAAACGAGGTTTGCTCTGTGGCACTCAACCTCAGCGCCAACCCCATTTTCCTGTTTTCCCCTTTGAAGGCTGGGGGTTGGGGGGTCGTCGACCAATTGCCTTTTTATTAATTAATTTATTTGGTGTTGCTGTTGTTTTATGGCTATTTTTACCGTCGCTCTGTGGCATGTGTGCTCCATATATTGACGTCCTGGTGCTTTAATTCGATTTTATTACGAATATTATTTTAATTTAGATTTCTGTTTATTTGAAAACATTTTATAAAATTATTCAACCAATCAATCAAATTAAATAAAAAATGTTTTTAAGTAAATAATGAAATTTAAATAGTAAAAGTTACTAAACAAATTCCTAACATTTTAATTTATGTTTTTTTAATTTTAAAATATGAAATGCCTTACAAATATTTCTTTTCAATATAAAATATTCTAAAATTTAAATAAAATTTAACTAGAGTATCCTAGAGTCCACTAAAGGTTCTTTCTATTCAATTCTCAACTTGTTTTCATTTTGATTTACAACATTTTTTTGGTTGCCCGCTTTTTGTTGATCTCTTTCTGGTTTCTTGTTGTTACAGTTATTAATATTAAATATTTATTTTGTGATTTTTATTTAATTTGCAATCTATAATTGCAATTTGATTGAGCTTTTTGCAATGAAGATACAAAAAAAGCGTTGCCACCTTTTTTTGCGGGCACACAGAGTTGAGTGGGTGAGTGTGTGTGTGTGTGGGGTTAAAATGGCAGCCCAGTTAACTTATCCACCTGTTCTCGCCGCCCACCACCCACCACCCCTCGCTTAACAATCAAAATTAAAATGAGTGGCTTATTAAAATTTTAACGCTCAAAAAGCATTTTTACTTATCATTTCTTTTTTTTTTTTTTTGCTCAGCTTGGACAACGTAATAAAGTTGGGTGGGTGGTGCAGGTGGTGCAAAGTGGGGAGGCGGCGGCTACTTTGATGTATTTTCATATTCCACTGAGATTCGCGAAATACGCAGGGTGGCTGGGTTTCTGTTTTTTTTTTTTTTACTGAGCCACAAGGACGCAAAGGACTCCTCTCTGTTTGGTCAGCAGCCAGTCGTCGTCGTCGCAGTCGTCTCACTGGCATTTAAAACGCTGATTGATTTCACTTACAATTATTCTTTATTTCCCTCCCTCTTTTCCCTGCTTCCTTTATTTTAATTACATTGATTTTGGCTAAATGCCGCAATTGTGCCTGTGCTCGTCGTCCCATTTTCCCGCCTTATTTGCACATCATTAAAATTGTAAAATTATTAAAGTGGCAAAACAAAAACTAAGACAAACAGAAATTGCCACCGAGTCAGGATTTTTGAGTGGGTGGTTGGTTTTTGCCTTTTCCTCTTTTCTCAGGGGTGCTTCGTTTCCTTTCATGCGATAATCCATTTTATAGAGGGTATATTGTATGTTATTTATCTTGAGGTTTGCTCAAAAGAGTTTAAAATTAATTTCGATGTTGGGAATAAATGTTACCAAAGCAATTATAGGAGAGTAAAGTGAAATATTTGTTAAAATATGTTTAAATTATTATTTAGTTGTTAAAAATATTATTTTTATATTAAATTTTACTTAAGAATACTAAAAGTAATCTACCTTCTCGGCAGAGAGACCTTATCCCTTCTCAAAGCATCCATTTCCATTTATTGCCATCCATCCATCCATCCTCCTTCAGTTTTTCCCATCGAAAGCTGCCTGGGTGGAAGGCGTTTTAAAATATTCAATTGGCTGCTGCTCATTATTTGTTAAGTGGCTTAATGAAAGCGATCCCCTGCTCTTCCCCCCTCCGCCCTCTTTTGCCTGACCAGTAGCTTTAATTAAATCGCATTTTTTAATGTGTTTGCATAACTTTTGCCTGCACTCAGCGAAAATTTCAGATTTCCATTGCCTAAGTAGATGATGAAATTAAGATTGTAAAACTCTTTGGGCTTTTTTTTTTAGAAGGTATTAATGATAATACTAAAACTTATTGGATTGAGGAAATTGCAACAAATGCTTACGGACTTGTCCTTATAATTCTCAACCACTTATTCTGCGACCACAATTTAATTCTTTTTTGAATAGCTAAATAATTTACTTGGATACTAACAATTCCTTGAAATGTTAATAAATTGTTGAGGAAATTGCAATAAATATTTGTGGTTCTTCAATATGAGAAATAAGTGTGCTTATAATTCTCAACTACTTATTCAGATGAAATAATTTTCCTATATATCAAAAAAATGTTGAATACATTATATTCATTAGAAATAAGAGATTCTTCCAAGTAAAGTTGAAAGATTAGATATAAACGCAGATAATTTTCCATATTTTTTCCAGTGTATAATATATTTTTCCCCAGTGTAGAAGCCACTTACTAACCTTGGATTTCTCCCCTCTTTTTTTTCCCCACCAGACAAACTGGCCAGCTGCTTTGTGTGCAAGGCGGAGGCGTGTCCGCGCACCCGCCCCCTGAAGAAGGGGCGTGGCCAGCAGTACGGCATCCCGGACGACTCGATTCCGGCGGGAGCGAGGGTCTGCAACAGCTGCCAATGCAAATCGGTGCGCAGCCGCTATCCCAACTGCCCGCTGCCCACGTGTCCCAATCCCAAGGATCGGGCCCAGCGCCTCCGGAACATTCCCTCGCGACTCTTCGAGCTGCCCTCGGAGGTTCGCGATCCGGTGATGGCCGAGTTCCAGATACCGCCGCACGCCACCCGCTGCTGTTCGGCCTGCCTGATGCGCATCCGCCGCAAGCTGGATCCCCAGCTGAATCTCACGGATGGCTCCTCTTTGGGGGGAGGAGGAGGCGGAGGAGCGGGCAGCGGCAGTGGAGGCGACGAGACGGATGTCTCCACCTCGTCGTGTGATGAAAGGGAGCCTGGCGGCTCGGATACGGCATCGGTGGAGAGTCCCGAGAATCTCCAGCGACACAAATCCTTGACGCTGGTCAAGCAGCAGCAGCAGCAGCAACAGCAGTTACAACAGCAGCAGCAGCAGCAACAGCAGCAGTTGCAACAGCAGCAGCAGCCACTATCGCAACCCCAGCCACCGCCTGCTCCGCAACAAAAGGTGGTGACCACTCCGCGAGGAGGAGATGCACCACTGATAATCACACCCACACGCAAGGCGGGATCGGGATCGGCGACCGGGGGCAATGACAACGATCGCCTGCTGCCGCCCGCCGCTGGACAGGCGCCGAAGAAGCAGAAGACCAGCGAGGAGTACGATTCGTCGGCCACCGAAACGGCCGATGAGGAGAATGAGAACTCGCCCGCCAATCGCCAGAGTCCCAAGGTTCTCTTCCACGGCAGCCATGGTCATGTGGCCAATAATGTGTCCAATCTCCAGCCGCCGGTTTCGGGAGTTTCGGGAGGAGCAGCTGCAGGAGGAGGAGGAGCAGCTGCCGGAGGAGGAGCACCTGGCCAGCAGGTCAATGGACCGATAAGCATGCGACGCGAGGCGGTCAACAATGTGCAGGATTGTGTGTTCTCGGTGATTGAGCGTTCGCTGAAGCACAAGGGACCGCAGCCGAAGGGGGGACAAGGTCAGCAGGGTCAAGGTCAAGGTCAGGGACAAGGACAAAGCCAATCCCCCTCCCAACAGCAACAGCAACAACAGCAACAATCTGCTAATAACCTGGAACGCAAGGAGCTAACAATCGTAAGGGAATATCGACAGGATCCTACGGCCATTCTAAAGCAGCAGCAAACTGCAGGAGGAGGAGGAGCAGGAGCACCACCACCGCCTTCCTCCTCCAGTAATCTACCACATGGAACCTCCGTGCAGAAGCTACCATCTCGGCCAGCTGCAGTGCCTCCGCCGGCACCGCCACCAGCTCATCCGCTGACCCCAACGAGCAGTGGGAATAACAATGGAACGAGCGATAGTTTGGCCACCCTTTCGGTGGTCAACTCTCACCTGGGCAACGTTCACCCGGCTCTAATGGCCCATTCCTCGGCAGGCGGAGGAGTAAGTGGTATCCCCGGATTACCTGGAATACCCGGAATCGGTGTGGACAAGGCCACCATTACGCCGGTGGTCAAGAGCAGTGGTGGTTCGTCGAGTGGTTCATCCAAGAGCGGAGCAACGCCCACGCCGCCAGAGACGATTATTTACAATGTGCCAGCGGCGCATCCGCAACGAGGGATTCCACCGCCGCCGTCGCAACACTCGGTGCATCCATCGCATGGTCAGCATCCCCAGCATCCGCAGCATCCTCAGCATGGTCAGCATAATCAGCATCCCCAGCATAATCAGCATCCGCAGCAGCAGTTGCAGGTTCCCGAACCAGAGCCCCAAACCCTTGACCTCAGCATCAAGAAGCCGCCGCGCGATGGTCACTCACCGCACACGGGTGGATCATCGGCAGCAGCAGGGGGATCCAGCAGCTCCTCCTCCACTTCATCCTCTTCAGCGGATCGCCATCACGGACCGCCGCCGCCAACGATGTCAATGAAGCATATTGTACGCTCAGCCAACATGTATCGCGGCGAAACAGTGAGTGTTCCCTCGCTGGCGGCGCCCAGTTCGTATCTGTATCCCACTCCACCGCATGGAGTGCTCAAGGCCACCGGTGGCGTGGGTGTGGTGCCCGGTGTGATGCCAGGTGCGATTCCAGGAAGCGCTCTATACCTACAACCTGTACCGGTGCCCGTGCCCATTTCGATTTCGGGGCAGGGACAATTGCCTCCTAGAGCTGGACAACCGCCGCCGGCGCAACCGCCATCGAGCAGAGGTGGTGGAGTGGCCAAGGTGCCGCCCAAACTGAGTCCACATCACCTGCAGCATCACGGCCACTCGCCGTCGCAGCAGCAGCAGCAGCAACAAGCGGCTGCCCAGCAACAACAGGCGGCTGTCCAACAGCAACAACAGGCGGTTGCCCAGCAGCAATTGCTGGTGAAGAGCGGCTCCATCACACACGGAACCCCCGCCAATGCGGCCCAGCAGCAGATACAGATCGTTCATGCAGCAGCGGCGGCAGCAGCAGCGGCGGCGGCCTCGTCCTCCCTACTCAGTCCCAAATTCGAGGGACTCGTAAGGCAGACGACGCCCGAGGGCGTGGGAAACGTGCCCGGTGGCTCAGGCAACAAGCATGGCTCCATTACGCAGGGCACACCGCTCCATATGCCTCCCCATCATCTGGAGAGCAAGCGGGCCTACGAGAGCTACTACAAGAGCTCACAGCGTCATAGTCCCGCCCAGCAGCCGGGCGCCAGTCAGCAGTTGCCGCCGCCGCCGCAGCAATCGTCGCCGCAGGCGCCACCGCCACAGGGCTACGGAGTGGGCGTGAGCTCACCCTACGCCCGGTCGCCATTCAGCGGAGTGGTGGAGCAGGCACCGGTTTTGAGTACGCGACAAATAGTGATGCACGACTACATAACCTCGCAGCAGATGCAGGGACAGCAGCAACAGCAGCAGCAGCAACAGCAGCAGCAGCGCAACATGTCGCGCGGCAGCAGTGCCAGCGGGGGCGGCGGAGGAGGCGGCTCCGACAAGGAGTCACCCTCGCCGCGGAACAGCGTGGGCAGTGGCGGAGGATTCGCCTATGGCGGGGAGAAGGAGTCGGCGCCACGCGGAAGACCGGAGTACTCCAGTCGGGCGTCGCCAGCAGATCATGCCAATAGGTGAGTGGAACTTATAACTGGAGGTTAGCCAGGGGTTGACTGGGGGTTACTAGAAGTTATCAGGGGTTTAGCGGGGATTTAGAAGCCAAGTTTTGAGTCTAAAGGTGTAAGATAGTGGTAAAAGGAAAGAGGAACTTATTACTAGAAGTTAACTGGAGGTTAACTGGGGGTTAAGTAGCCAAGTGTGTGTTGAAAGGTATATGATATTAGTAAGTGGGAAGGGGAACTTATGTCAACTTATGGGTATTACTAGAAGTTGACTGAGGGTTAACTGGGGATTAAGAACACAGGTGTATGTTTTAACGTATACGATACATTTTTAAACTTATTATCCAAGAAGGCATTTTAGTTTAGTTTCATAAAGACTAATTTTGCATACTAATTGCAGTGGAGAGGATTGAACTGTATTTAAGATATAAAATATATATAAATACCTAGATGAATAATAATTTAAGTGCCAATCTAAAATGCAACAAGGTTAAGCATTAATTACTATCAAAAATTCGCTGAGGTGAAAACAGGAAATGCCATTTGAAATCAAAATGATATCTGTGTAAAAACATATGCAGCGATGCCGAAAGCTTTTGAAATTCCACCGTCCAGAGCAACATTTCAATTATGGTTCATATATATTTGTGCAGTGGGTCTAAAAGGTCAGCTTAACAGGACTTGACCCCATTTTAACTAATACAGTGGCTTCCGAGGCCAATAGATTGCGTTTCACGCGTAAATAAACAAAATCTGGTGGGCAGCAAATCATTAAAGTATCGCATTCGAATCGCCACATCGAATGGGCACCGTAACTCCACACATCTGCGTCATAATTGCCCACATTCGGCGGAGCAGTTGTCCGATTTGGTTAAAATCCTGTTAAGCACTATCCTGTAAACAGGATGGATGACTGAATGTAAATGAGAGCGATGCAATGCGGAAAAAGTTGCGTCTGCGAGCAGAAGCCTCGATTAAAAGCTCCCGAAATATACAAAAAACAAAAGTGGACAGTCCGAAAAAGAACCTCCAGTTTGGAAAAATCATAAGAGCCAAAATTAAGAAGTTTATTTTGAAAAAATACGAAGAAGAAGATGCGGATAAGTAATAATTAATTCGTGTTGTTTGCTGACATTTGGCTAAACAAATTAACCGAGGATTACAAAACTTCAGTTTTGACACCTGTTGAAAATGATTAAAAATAATATAAAAAATAATGGAAATTCAATTAAAATTTTTTATAAATTATAAGAATTTTTATTAGCGAAAAGCTTGATTTTAAAAGTGACACCTGTTGAAAATGGGAAATACCAAATTTCAAGGTCGTTTTCTGATTCAATGTCAAAGAATGCTAAGGAAGGAATTTTCACTTGAAAAACAAATAAATATTTAGGATTATGTATTTAAAGAAAGGAAACCCATTTCGAAAATTTAATAGGTAACTTTTAGTAAGTTTTGTAGGCTATAAATTAATGAATACATGATAACCCTGGAATGCGTAGATTTTCTAGATTTTCGTATGTAGTTTTTAAAATAGGTACTACTCAATATATTTCATAATTTTTTTGAACCTTGATTTAGAAAACGGTCACACTAATTCCACTTTTTTTCCTCCCTAAAATCTAGCACTCCAAGTCCGCATCGCACGCCGCCACCCCAACGGCAAGGCGTAATCCAGAGGCACAACACGGGCTCCAAACCGCCCTCTCCGGCAGCTCCGCCACCGAGGAGCATGCACATTGTGTCCCCCTATCAATATGCTCCAAGTAAGTTTTAAGCTTTAATTGATAGAGAAACTAAACTTGAAGAGAAACTAATATACGTATTTTCTACAGGTGGTCACGATGCTTTGGCCTCGTTTGTGGACGTGGCCGTCCAGCAGCCGCAGTTGCCGGTGCCGTCGCAAAAGGATGACAAGTCGCCGGGTGCGGCGCCTGGTCCGCCGGGCCAACTTAGCGGACCACCGGGATCCGGACCACCGTTGGGCCCAGCGCCACCCGGACTGCCGCCACACGCCGTGGTGGGCGTGGCTCAGCCACCGCCGCCGACCGCTCACCACGATCAGCGGTATCGCGACTTGGCCCTGCACCACCACCACCACACTTTGGTGCAGCAGCAGATTGCCCAGCAGCAGCACTACCACCGCAGCCTCAATGTGGCCGCCCAGGCGGATATGCAGCGCCAGATGGACCAGGCGAAGCGCGTGATGCGCCACCAGCAGCATCAGCAGGCGCAGCACCAGCAGGCCCAGCAGCAGCACAACCATGCGCTCGTCGAGCGGGACAGGGAGATTCTGCAGAGCCAGGAGCGGATGCGTGAGCGTGATCGTGACAGGGAAAGGGAGCGAGAAAGGGAGCGGGAGCGGGAGCGTGAGAGGGAGCGTGAACGGGAGCGAGAGCAGCGAGACCGGGAACGTGAGCGGGAGCGGGAACGGGAGCGAGAGCGACGCGAACAGGACCGGGAGCGACGGGTGGTGGCCGAGGAACGGGAGCGGGACAGCCGGCGCATGGAGCGCATGTTCGCCGGCGGTGTGGTCACCGCACCAGGCGGACCCGGCGGCCCCGGCGGCGGACCCTCGCCCGGCCAGTTCCTGCGCGCCTCAGTGCCCGAGAGCGGTCCACCACGCTCCATCCCAGATCGCGAACGAGAATCGTAAGTTCTTCAATAATTATAATTAAATAAGTGGAAATATATAATTATGATATGTAATGTAAAGAAATGTTAATTTGGAAATGTAAGGAAGAGTCAGTTGGGAAGAAATCTGATCTTAATTAGTTAAAAATATAAATCTGCATTGATTCTTCAAATTTTAATGATAACTTTCTATATATAAAGTATTTTTATGCCTTGAAAAATTATTCATTTGAAGCTGATGGGAATTACTTGAGGATAAATCATTTCTAAGAAAAAACCTATACTATACTAAGAATATTTGGTAAAAATATGAACGTCGTATAATAATAATTTCTTAGAAAAAACCTACACTATACTAAGAATATTTGCTAAAAATATGAACTTTCTGGCTTTACTGGTTTGGATTCTACATTCAACTTACAATTTTATAAAAAGTGTTTTATATTTATATACATAGATAGATTTAAAAAAAAAAAATACCATAAGTATAATACCATTTAAAAATATACAATAAATATAAAGTACTTTACTAATTCTGTATATACCTCCGCAGATACTATCGTCAGGCACATGGAGGCCCCGCACCAGAGGACACGCCCGGCCAACTGAGCGCCCAGAGTCTGATCGACGCCATCATCAAGCACGAGATCAATCGCTCGAATGACGCAACTGCAGGACCTGGTCGCGAATTCCCTCGCCCCACCTTCGTCCATGCTCCGCTGCCGCCGCGCGGATCGGGATCAGGTGGCGCCGGAGGCACTCGCTCCTCGCCAGCGAACGTCTTGCATCAGATGTACGTGCGCGATCATCGGCAGCCGCACGAGAGCGGAGCAGTCTCGCTGCTGACGGCCGAGAACAATGGCAAGCCCAGCTCCTCGGGATCGCCCAGTGTGATCAACATTGACCTGGATCAGGAACGCATCTCGGCGGCCGCAGCCCAGGCAGTTGCCGCCCAGCAGCAGCAGCAGCAAGCTGCGCCGCCTCCCTCGCAATCGTCGCAATCGAGATCCGTGCATGGCCAGTTGAGGACGCCGACCTCCCAGGCGGGCGGTTCGGCTCCCAGTCCCCAGCAGCAGATCCACACCAAGAGCATCACCTTCGGGGAGCTGACGGATTCGATAATTACCAACGACTATGTGACCAATCCGCATCTGCGGCCGACGCCGCCGTTCATGGCCTATCTGCAGGAGGCGCAGTCCATTCTGCCGCCGGATCGCTGGAAGCAGAATCGCCGCATGCAGCAGAAGGCGGAGGAGGCGAAGCACCACTCGCAGCAGCAGCAGCAACAGCATCATGCTCAGCATGCTCCTGGTGGCGGAGGAGCACCAGGCGGAGGAGGAGCACCCGGCGGAGGAGCACCCAGCGGAGGAGGAAGTGCCGCCGGCAGGGCCAACACGCCCGGCGAGGATGGACGCAACATAATCCGAATGCCGCAGGCGGTCAGTCCGCGTAAATACAGCCACGAGATGATGCTGCATCATGTGATGGGAGCCGGTGCGCCGGGCGGTGAGCCTGGACAGTTCTTTATACCCAGCCGCGTCGTGATGCCGGAGCAGCGGGGAGCGCCAGGCGGAGGAGGAGGAGCACCTGGCGGCGGCGGCGGTGGAGGAGGGGCTCCTGGCGCCGGAGGCCCCGGTTCCGGAGGATCCACCATTGACAACTATGTAAAGAACCGCATCGCCGAGGTGATGCGCGATGATATAAGCTATGGGAAGAACCGAACGGTGGAGGTGCGAACGGAGGAGGACATGGCCGATATGGTGGCCGCCCAATCGCATGCCGCCCATGTTGCCCACGCCGCTCAAATGGCCCATGTGGCCCACGCTTTGGAGCTGCAGCACAGGAGCAAGGAGCAGCAGCAGCAGCAGGCGCCTCCGCCGGAGATCAGTGTGTCGCGCAAGACGCCCAACCAATACGAGGTGGTCGATGCCAGCGGACGTCGCTCGGCGGGCAGTGCCGCCTCCGTTTCGGTCTCCGTCTCGGGAGCCAATAGCCACCACTCGCCGTACCATCCGCCGGCGGGAGCCTATGCCCCCAGCACCTATGCCTTTCCCTACAGCGCGCTGACCGTGCCGAGTGCCGCTGGGGGATTGCCGCCGCCGCAGCCGCTGCAGCTGGCCCACCAGGCGCTCGCGCCGCCGGGGAATCTGAGTGCCAAGGCCAAGGCGGCACATGCTTTGAGTGAACTGGGCGCCGTCGGTGGCGGAGTGTCGCTGGTGGTGGGTGGAGGGTCGAGTGGAGGAGCACCCGGCGGACCAGGCGGCCCAAGTGGCGGAGGAGGCGGCGGCGGAGGAGGAGGAGGAACACCCGGCGGACCTGGTCACAATTCCATCCAGCATTCCGCATCGGCAGCCGCTGCTGTGGTGGCCGCTGCCGCAGCAGCCGCCGCGGCCGGCGAGTCGAAGCCGCTGCTGTTGTCCAAGTACGACGCCCTCAGCGACGAAGATTAGTTGTGACTGCCGGCGTCGTCCGCGGCGTCGGCGTCGCACCTGCGGCCAGGAGCAATAGCAGTAGCAGCGGCAGCACTGCCACCCGGCAGCGGCGGCACGAGCGTGGTCTACGGCTATCCTGGCTACCGGCGACACTCCCAGCAGCAGCAGCAGCAGCCACCACCTCATCCGCATCTCGTCCAGCAGCAGCAGCAGCAGCTTTATCAGACCACAGTGCTGCCGCCTCCGTTGCAATCCCAGCAGCAACAGCAACTCCAGCAGCAACAGCAGCATCAGCAACATCAGCAACTCCACCAGCAGCAGCAGAGGAGCCTCTACTATGCCAGCGAGCATTATCCGGGGGGCAATGGGAGCAGTGCTGCCGGCGGCAATCCGGGCTACTATTAGGTTACTAAGATCACTTGTTGGACAAAGAGCCTCCGCTAAGCAAACGAAATATGTATGTAAAAGAAAAGGAAAAGAATATGGCTTTAAATCTAAAAAACAAAACAAGATTAAAACATAAAGAGGAGGCAAAATCAGCAGGAAATCTAAAAAGAAAGAGAGAGAGAGAAGCTGAGAGGAGACAGAGAGGGAGTTCAAGTTTTGTCCAAAATTTAGACATTTTCCAAACAGTTTAAGCAAACTATTGTGACTGCAGGCGAGGGCAGACCCATTTAAAAATTGTAAATCATGTATACCACATTTAATTTTAACTTAGACTTTTTAACAAATGAAAAATGATTTTTCGAGGTGATTTTAAACAGAGATTTTGGAAATGTACATAATCGAACTTTAACCACCTGTCTCCCCTCGAATCTCCTTTGTGTCGCCTAAATGTAGTAATGTAATAATGTCCCTGTTCTTTCGTGGCATCTGTAAATGTTTCCTCCTCCTCCGCCGCCGCCTCCGTCTCCTCCTCACACAGCTCTAGCCTCAGCACCCCGAGTCAGAACGTAATGAAATTGGTAGTGACCACAATATAGATATATGAAAAACTAGAAATCACACCACACACTTATATATACAATACACCTATGGTTATAAGGAGTAAACAAAATAATAAAAACACACTGTTGGGCTGTTCTTAGAAAAAAAAACAAAAATAAAACAAAAACAAAAACCTAAAACCTAAAGGAAGAAAGTAAGAGAAAAGAAACCAAGTAAAACGAGAAACAAGTAAATAAATATATATATATTACCTATAGAACACTTTAAACATTATTTAAACGACTTTTTGTAAATTTCATAAAAACTGCGCATAATTTTAATGAGCATCATTTAATCAATCTTATTGATAAATTTACAATTTACCACTACTATTATTCGTTTTTTTTTGCTATTTTTATATGCAAGATCTAATTTATATGGAGCATGATTGTGTTTTATTCTCTTCTTAAGCAAACGCTATTGAATTATGTACGTTTAATTGATTAGCTGATAAGCTAATGAAAGTTTCGATGTAAGTAAAATAAAAAGTAGGCCCCAAAACATATAAATATATATATATGGGATATACATACGCATATTTTTTTATATAACACTTATGTCTTACGAAACAGTTTTAGTGTTTAGCTACTTTACTGTTTAATTCGTTTTTTAACTATTTTTTTTTTTGATATGCAAACGCGAAACAAACGTGAAACCAATTGAGAAACGTGAAAACAAAAAATTCAATATTTTTAATACATAATGAAACTAAAAACGAAACAAAATCTATATAGTAAATATATATGAAGTAAACAACAAACGCTAAGACTTATTCAACAAAACAAAAACTGTAAAATATTAAAAGATAAATGATAAACGATATATAAATATATGAATGTAAAAGCTAACGATGCAGATATTCGCAACCGAAAACCGAAATAGGCGGAAACGGAAATGGATATGGAAAACCCAACACGCAACTCTGGCCGAGCGGCGCGCGCAGCAACGTTTTAGTTAAGGGCAGGAAGCGTATTTTTTTTTATAAATATATATATATATATATAAATTAAATTAAAAATAAAAAAACAAATTCTATATATATACAGAAAATTTTACAAAATATATATATATACATATATATGATAATAAATGTATGTAAAACGGCAGCATAATAACTAACGGAATAAACAGCGCCAGAGGTTCGAGCCGAAGGATCGGGTGGGGCGATGGCGGCCGGAACTGCACGGACGGACAGACTCGCGGACAGACTCGCGGACAAGGACTCGAGGAGCCGCCTACACAACGAAACGGCTCGCGTCGCCGCCACCCGATCGCTGACAGCCCCGATATCCTCGATAGAGAGCACTTTCTACACATATAAATATATAAATGAATACTGTATGAATAACCGAATTTTATAGCCGGGCGAATTACAAAAACCCCGGCTGAATTGAATGGATGTAAAACAAACAAGAAACAACAAAACAATGTGTATGCACAAGGCGTGCCCTGAAAATTTGATTTAAGCAAATTGCAAATCACAAAAAACAAATTGAAATTCGTTGTATTGAAGGACCTTTTATTGTTTGGTTTTTCCGTTTTATTTTTCGTTGTATCAATTCAAAATCGATATAGTTGTATGGAAAAAGAAAAACAAAAGAACGAGTAAAGGCGGCTTTTGAGTGCATAATGATAACAATAAACACAAATTATGAATGGAGATAAAACGATAAAAAGAGGGAGGAGTGAAAAGTAAACAACAATATTATGTGGAGTATATGCATATAATGTGCGCCGAGTCGCAGAGCTAGAGCCGATTATGATCGATACATGATAATGATGTTTAGCACTTAAGTTTTAGTTGTAACTTTATGCCTTAAGTTGTAAGCTTAAAAATAATAATATAAAATTAAATACAACATATTAAAAAGCAAACAAAACAAAATAAAAACAAATACAAAAAAATAAAACAAAAGAAATGTATAACAAAATGTTCTTGTTTTTTCTTTGTGTCTTAATGGGTTTTTCAGTCAGATAGTGCTAAGGATCAATTGGATTAACAAAAAATGTTTGCCAATTTTTTTTTTTTTGTAATTATGATTTTTTTATGAATTTAAAAAGAATAAAATGTCAAGGTTTATAAGCCAATCGTTAGGAAATTTAATAACGAGTTCAGAAAGGTATGACAATCCATACTTTGAATCAGTATTTTCTTTGTTATAGTGAAAAAACTACAACGTTTTAGCGAAAAAACGGGTTTGGTTTTTTTTTGGAAATTCGCGATTTCAGTTTTTGACAAAAATTGGAATTTTTCTTTTGGTTTTTTTGCTGTACCAAAAATGGTCCTACACCAAAAATTCATACTGTTTTGAACAGATAACAAAATTTGCTATAAATCCATAAAACTTTCCGTGTAATTTTGGAAAAACAAAATTTTCGCCAATTTTTAATTTTTTTATAAGGGGGTACCCCATGATTTTTTGCGAAAAATTAAAAATGAATAAATTGTCAAGGTTTAAATGCCAATCGTTAGGAAATTTAATAACAAGTTCAGAAAGGTCTGACAATCCATACTTTGAATCAGTATTTGCTTTGTTATAGCGAAAAAACTACAACGTTTTAGCGAAAAAACGGGTTTGGTTTTTTTTTGGAAATTCGCGATTTCAGTTTTTGACAAAAATTGGAATTTTTCTTTTGGTTTTTTTGCTGTACCAAAAATGGTCCTACACCAAAAATTCATACTGTTTTGAACAGATAACAAAATTTGCTATAAATCCATAAAACTTTCCGTGTAATTTTGGAAAAATAAAATTTTCGCCAATTTTAAATTTTTTTATAAGGGGGTACCCCATGATTTTTTGCGAAAAATTAAAAATGAATAAATTGTCAAGGTTTAAATGCCAATCGTTAGGAAATTTAATAACGAGTTCAGAAAGGTATGACAATCCATACTTTGAATCAGTATTTGCTTTGTTATAGCGAAAAAACTGCAACGTTTTAGCGAAAAAACGGGTTTGGTTTTTTTTGGAAATTCGCGATTTCAGTTTTTGACAAAAATTGGAATTTTTTCTTTTGGTTTTTTTGCTGTAACTTGGCCAAAAATGGTCCTACACCAAAAATTCATACTGTTTTGAACAGATAACAAAATTTGCTATAAATCCATAAAACTTTCCGTGTAATTTTGGAAAAATAAAATTTTCGCCAATTTTAAATTTTTTTATAAGGGGGTACCCCATGATTTTTTGCGAAAAATTAAAAATGAATAAATTGTCAAGGTTTAAATGCCAATCGTTAGGAAATTTAATAACGAGTTCAGAAAGGTATGACAATCCATACTTTGAATCAGTATTTGCTTTGTTATAGCGAAAAAACTGCAACGTTTTAGCGAAAAAACGGGTTTGGTTTTTTTTGGAAATTCGCGATTTCAGTTTTTGACAAAAATTGGAATTTTTTCTTTTGGTTTTTTTGCTGTAACTTGGCCAAAAATGGTCCTACACCAAAAATTCATACTGTTTTGAACAGATAACAAAATTTGCTATAAATCCATAAAACTTTCCGTGTAATTTTGGAAAAATAAAATTTTCGCCAATTTTAAATTTTTTTATAAGGGGGTACCCCATGATTTTTTGCGAAAAATTAAAAATGAATAAATTGTCAAGGTTTAAATGCCAATCGTTAGGAAATTTAATAACGAGTTCAGAAAGGTATGACAATCCATACTTTGAATCAGTATTTGCTTTGTTATAGCGAAAAAACTGCAACGTTTTAGCGAAAAAACGGGTTTGGTTTTTTTTTGGAAATTCGCGATTTCAGTTTTTGACAAAAATTGGAATTTTTTCTTTTGGTTTTTTTGCTGTAACCTGGCCAAAAATGGTCCTACACCAAAAATTCATACTGTTTTGAACAGATAACAAAATTTGCTATAAATCCATAAAACTTTCCGTGTAATTTTGGAAAAATAAAATTTTCGCCAATTTTAAATTTTTTTATAAGGGGGTACCCCATGATTTTTTGCGAAAAATTAAAAATGAATAAATTGTCAAGGTTTAAATGCCAATCGTTAGGAAATTTAATAACGAGTTCAGAAAGGTATGACAATCCATACTTTGAATCAGTATTTGCTTTGTTATAGCGAAAAAACTGCAACGTTTTAGCGAAAAAACGGGTTTGGTTTTTTTTGGAAATTCGCGATTTCAGTTTTTGACAAAAATTGGAATTTTTT